GTGGGGAAGGGGAGCAGACGAGCACGGGGCCATGTGCCAGTGCCTGCCCTGTTTCACTGACACACGTTGGTGGCCACGGTGCTCTGCCCCCCTGCGCCCCAGGACAGACACCCGCCACCCTTCCAGCTCCTCCGAGGCCTCCCGACAGCCCCCTGCTGCACACAGACAGCAGCACGAGGTGTCCCTGGAAGCCACCAGCACGGCTGGAGCAAGGCAGAGGGCGAAGGAGCCGGCTGCACGCCTCCCCCAGCCGTGCACACAAAGCCACCTACTGCAGAGCCACGTCCCCACAAGTGACGAGAGAACACCAGGGCCCTCGGTGCCCACGGGCAGGCAGGGCTCTCGCACCACGGCAGCAATGCCTGCCGGAGCCAGCAGGGCTGAAACACCCTGCTCCGCCACAGAAGGCCAGAAAAATTTGGCTGTGCCAGCCTGGGACAGCAGCCCAGACGCTTCCTGACTCATTTGCTCAAATAATATTTTTATTATACACAGATTGCTCATGACACAACGGCACCATTTTTTAGCAACCTGCTTTGTCCCGGTCCGCTGTGGGGATGGGGTGCGGTACCTGCCAGCGGGAGCAGGCGGAGGATGGGAACACATTCCCCATGGACCTCTCGTCCCCCCTCTGGCTCCAGGGTGAGACAGGCTGATGGGGCCCCAGGGTGTGCAATTGCCACCCAAACAGCACCTATGGCTCACCACCCCCTCCTCTGAGCTGTCTCTGCCCTGCAGAGTGCTCAACAGGTACCCAAAACTCAGCATCACGGGGCCTGTGGGACAGGTTGCACTCATGGGTCTCGTGAAAATACCTCAGGATTTTAGTGCCGAGGAGGCCGGTGTCCCCGCAGTGCCCAGGGTCCAGGCACAGCAGCAGCACGTGCTTACAAGGGCATAGCACCAAGGTTGGAGCCCAACCACCCATCATCAGACAAAGGATTCTGCTAAGCCTGGTCTTACACATCTGCCTAAAGGAGTTGCTCTCAGTTTGCTTCCAAGGGGACCTAGCCTCGCTGACCGTTTTAAGAGCCTGCAATAGAAGATGCTACTGAGTGCGGCCGAAAACCAGAACAAATCCAGACCCTGTTTCTCCCCAGCTGCTCCAAGCCATAGGAATTTGCATTTTCTCCGAGCCGTGTGGAAGGCGTGCCCGCACGCTCCGGGGGTCCCCTGCATCCCCCTCTGCGAGTGCCCAGCAGCCGCGCGCGCGGCTCTTCCCGCCGGAGCTGCACAAGCCCTCATTGTGCAGGCGCCCAGCCGAGGGGGCGGCAGCGCAGGAGCAAAGACAAGGTGTCTCCAAGTGGAGGATGTGAACATGAACCTCCCAGCCGGCTTCCTTCTCCCCCTCTCCACCCCCTTCAGCTTTTTTAAAGAAAATAAACACTAGCAGAACCTTCCATTCACTGTCCCAGTCCAGCACGCGGGACGCACAAAGGGACATTGCTGTTGCACCAACAGAGGGTCCCCTGAATGGCTGAGCACAAAGGCTGCCTGTGTCCCGCCGGCAGCCAGAATGTCAGAGGGATTATTATTATTTTGGGAGGGGGTCGGGGGGTGATTTGGTCCTGAATAAGGTCTCAGTTCAGCTACTTCCAGTGCCCCGCGCGCAGCATCAGAGCTCCCATTTAGCAGAGGTGAGCTGGAATTCCCACCCAGCCCATTAAGCGGATTTACGGTTCCACGAAGCGAGGCTGGTAGCAGCCAGCGCGATAACGGCCCCGGGCCGAGCCTGAGCCCTCCAGGAACCACACGCGTCGGACGCCTGCGGGCACCGGAGAGCTGCCGCGCGGGAAGGGGCAGCCCCTCTGCCTCTTCCCTGGGTTGGGTGGCTCCGTCTTCACGCGTGCAGCCAGGAATTTCCAGCCAGACAGGCGGACGGTGCTTCCCGCCCTCTCAGCTCCCCAAACCCTCTTCGTGCAGTTCCACTGGATGCAGAGGCCAGTTTCCACTCAAAGGGCTCCAGGCCATCAAAGCTGTACCCACCGTCGCCCCTTCAGGGCAGCCCCCCACGGAGCAGCCAGGGCTGCTGCTTATGCAGACAGAAGCTAAGCGGAGCCTCTGGGCTACCCCAAAACCCACACACTCCAGCCAGCAACCCACTTGCCCCCCATCAATCTGCAAAAGAATCAAATCCCAGAGCCAGAACCCTGCCCCGAAAGCCCTCTGACACTAGACAGAAAAAGCAGGGCAGAAAATAACACCAGCAGAGACACTCTCGGCCCCAGTGGGAGCACTGAGGAGGAAGCAGGGGACAGTTAGACCTTCCACAGCCACCCCTAAACCAAGGAGGAACCCAGAGTTTAGGGGAAGGATTAATCCTTACTGTCCCGGGTAAAAAGTAAAAGTCTCCCCAGGTAGTGGGAAGTTTTGCCCCTGCTGCTGATCCTGCCTCAGCCACCGCGGCTTAGAGACAAGTGTGCCCCGCTCCATTTATCTGCCAGGTATAACCAGGAGGACCTGACTTCTGCTTCTTTCCTCTGAACCATCACAGCCCTGGGAAGGAAGACAAGATGGGAAAAAAGTTGGAGAGCCCGCTATCTCTGACCAGGGGCAGGTGGCTGGCTGCAAAATAGACCGGCCAGGGCACAGCAGGACCAGCGCCAGCAGACCCTGCCCACTTGCTGGCTTAGGTGCAGAGCCTGGCCTCCCATCCAAAGGGAGCCTGGAGGTGGCCAGGGCACAGGGACAGCGCTGGTGGTCACAGACGCATCAGCACTGCAGGACACTCGGGACGCGACACCCAAAAGGTGACACAGGGTAGGCACAGTCTGACCCCCGCTGTGACTTACTGGCTTGGACAACCCGTTCTACAGGACTGTTGCCCAGCGCTGCAGAGCTCACAGCTCACTAATGGTCACCTCAGCCAGCCTGCACGTCTGCCTCCGCAACTCCTCGCTAAGAGCCTTTGCTGCCGGGCCATGCAGCAGAGCCTCTCTGACGGCAGCATATCCACGACACGGAGGCAGCTGCAGCTTTCCAGAGGTTTGGGGGTCTGCTGCTGGCTTCCTGGAGGATCCCGTGAGGCCACGGCTCCGGCAGCTCTGCCTGGGGTGCAGCAGCAGGGAAAGAAAAGGCTCTGCAGGATCTGTAAAACCTTGGCACCTGGTGCCACTCAAGAAACAGGAGCTTGTTGATGCAACTTGCAACCCGAGCAGCAAGTAATAAAAGCGAGCGCTTTCATTTGCAAGCTGCAGCCTGGCTCGCTCCAGCGCCTGCACAGACACCCATTGCTCGGCATGCAGGGGGACCAGCAAAAACCAGCAAGACCCAGTATCGGCTTCCAGTGGCAGGCAGTAGCACAAGGCTGGCCGGGGACGTTCCTCAGGCCTCGCGGGAGGAGCAGGCGAGGAGCTCCCGGAGCCTGGGAACAAAGAGGTGCCTCTGAGGCAGGCAGCAGCTCGGGGGCCGGGGCAGGGGGCTGCGCCATTGCAAATTAGCTGTTTTATGGGAGCCCTGGGAGCAGCTCGGTGGAAGGCTCCAGCTCATTTTCTGTGATTGAGCCCATTCTTACCCACCTCTCCGTCTCCCTGGCCAATCCCCTCTGAAAGCGGGAGGGCGCTGCCTGCCAGAAGAGAGGCCCCGGGGGCGCCTGCCAAGGCGGTGGGAAGCGCAGTGAGCCCAAAAGCAAGGCTGGAGCCGCCTGGAGCAGGAGCTCCTGTCCAGCAGCTCGGGCTGTTAGCTCCAGCAGGCTCTCCCCAACTTCCCAGGAGCTCAGGCCTGCCTGGGCTCATCACTGAGCTCTTTTTCCAGGCTGCAGGCCTCAGAGCCGAGACTCTTCCACCTGAAGAAAGGCGTGCTTGGCAGGAGGGCCAACAGAAAGAACGGGGGGAGCTCCAGCCTCTTCCTGGCAGGCGGGAGCCCCGCATGCACTGCCATGGACGTCACCAGCAGCGAGAACACCACCCCTGCCCGAAAGCAGAGCAACCAGAACAATTCTTCCACACCAAGTAGAATAACTACAGGAACATAAACCGAAGGCCACAGCTACATTCACATATCAGTAACTTACAGAAAACCTCACCAAAACCGTAACAAATGCAACTAAGCCAGAAAGCGGGTCTGCTGCCCGGCAGGAGCAGCCCCTGGGGAAGCTACACCCCTGCTGGGCTCTTCCCAGGACGGAGCGAGGACAGCCGCCCCCCACCAGTGGCAGAGGGCACAAGCGTTTCGGTGCCTTCCCCAGGCAGAAGGTCGTGGGCTGCGTTAGGACATCACTTGTCCAACTCGGGATGGCTTGAAATCCCAAACGCCCTTTGCATGCCCTTGTGTGACCTGGCCCCTTCCCCAGGCTGGCAGGCAGAGGGAATAGGCTCCCCTCCCCTCGGCCAGCGAGAAGCCTCCCTGAGGAAGGGGTCTCCCAGGCATCCAGGGACACAGGCTCCCACGGGACCTCTGGAGGACCGGCAGCAGTCTGTGGCCTGCTCAGAGCTGCGGCAAAGCCCAAAGGCCAAGCGGCGAGTCTGCAGAGAAGGGGAGGGAGCAGACACCAGGCTAGACAAGATGGGCAGATGAGAGCACGTGGCTCATCCGGGCGGTGCTGGCTGCCCCCCGGCAGCACCTTCCTGGCAGGGCAGGGCAGGCTCTGCAGCTTTAAGAGTCCTCCCTCCCAGTCCACGGTGTCAAGGAAAAATCTGACACGTTTTTTCTGGTGGATGTTAATGGACAAGCTAGAACAGCCAGTTGCCTTTTCCATTCATTTTCCACACAGCCCCCTGGGACGCCTGCTAATGAAAGAGCCGATTGTGTGCCCCTGCAGAGGAGCAGGCAGGTAGGGCAGGAGCAGCAGCGGCTCCAGCAGCCCAGCATGGCAGGGCGTTTGCACAGCTTGGGAAGAAAAAGACACAGAGGAGCATGCCCTGGGGCAGAGACCCCCCACTGCAGGCTGCCTGACAAAAGCAGCCCAAGCAACAGGCAACCCAGGCCGGCAGCTACCCAGGGCAGACGTTCACATCCCGACAGGCTTTGCGAGACGACGGCAGCAGAGCTCCCTGCATGGCCCTCGCTGCCCCAGCAGGACAAAGTGCCACCCAGGGGCACAGCACAGTGGGGACGCTGTAGTGGTTTCATAGCTGGCAGTGCCAGGGGAAGGAGCTCACCCCAGCCCCTGGCATGGGGGAGAATCTGAACCAGCCCTGTACCCCTCCCCAGGGCACGGGAGGCCCCTCTCCCCGCTCAATACCAGGTCTGTCTCTCGCAAGCGGCGGAGCTTTGCTTGGAAAAGACAGAGCGAGCCTTTTCTAGCCCCACACAGCCGCTTGCGCGGCCCAAGCCCTGAATGGCTGCCTTTATGCAGTAGCTGCTGTCACGAGCCACACTCTGGCAACCACAAATGGCAGCAAATAGCTGAGGGGTTTGTGTTTCCACGCACCCTGGCTAGGGGAGGTATGGCTTCTGTCACACCCCAGCCCCCCGGCCCTGACAGGCAGCCCGGGGCACACAATGGCACCTTGTTCCCTCCCTGGGGTGGGGGGCTGCATGGGAGCTTCCGGGTCCCCCACCTCTCCTCCCCGCTCCACACCTACGGGCGGGCGAGCAGAGCGCAGGGCCCCCAGCTGGAGGCCGACACACCTTCAGGTCCAAGGGGCTCTGAGCCGTGACGTTCCTGCAGAGACCAGAGAAGGGGCCATCACCATGGCCTCGTCCCTGCTCCATGCTCGGGGAGCAGGCAGTGCCAGGCCTGCCAGTGCCAGGGAGCAGAGGGACGCAGGCAAGGCCATAGGGCAATAGGAGCCCCCCTCCCAGCCCGGCTGTCCCTGGCAGCATCCTCATCCAGGGGGCAAAGATCTCCGAGATCTGAGCGGCCCCAGCCGATGGCACAGCGGGGTACACCAGGGAGGACAGGGCCAGTCCCAGCCCCACACTGGGGGGTCAGAGAGACTTACAAGGTGAGGATCTCGTTCCACAGCAGCTCAGAGCTCCCGATCTGCTTCCCCGTCTTCTTGGTCTCGCTGGGCAGCCCGTCGCCTGCCACCTCCACATAGCAGTTCATCCGCGAGGGGCGGCTGTGTGCCTTGGGCTTCACCGACACCACTGGGGAGGGGGGGACAGGCAGAGGGTGACACAGGCACAGGGGAGACCCTGTCCCACACACTCACACCCCGTCCCTGCCAGCTCGGGGTGCCATGACTCACCACAGAGTGAACCCGCTTTTGGGAGAGGGGGAGCGAGAAGCGATTCTCCTGATGGCAGCAATGGCCATATCCAGGTGCTCCCATCACCAGCTCCCCCTGCTCACTGCCTGTCCCCAGCTTCACCCCCACCTTGACCCCCCCCGGGCCGGCCAGGCCCTGTGCAGGGGCTGGGGGGCAGAGCCGGGGACGCAGCTCCAGGCGTCGGGAGCCATCTCGCGGCCACGGGAGCACTGACGCGGCCCTGGCAGGGCCATGGAGCCCCGTCCCCATGGCAGCCGGGGAGAGGAGACGGCAGAGCCCAGCACCCAGCCACTCTGCTTCTCCAGGCACCCATGGGATGCAGGGCAGTGCTGGCCTTCCCCAGTCTGGCGTCTCCCAGCCCGGGGTGCAGGCAGAGCACACGCCCGGACCAGACGCACCCAAAATCCACATTCTGAAATCCACCTCCATCGAGGCAGCAGAACCCACCTTTCACAGAGAGCTGGGACTTCTCGCAGGGCGGCCCAGCCCTGGCCCTGCTGGAGCTCGCAGCAGCCATGGCATCACCCCTGGCTGGAAGCAGAGAGAGAGGAGACACCTTAGCACCGCTCCCACCGTGCAGAGGCAGCCAGGGCTGCACTGGGGCCCCAGGTCAGCACCTCCGGGCCTGAACACAGCCTGGCTGTTACTGCAAGCGACCCACATGGCAGGGAGACTTGGCAATGGACAGGCACATGCCTGGTAAACACAGGTTCCCTCTCATTCCTGATAAACCAGCCCTGCACCGCAGGCAACAGCAACACTGCACCTCAGTGGGAGAAACTCCCCTTCAACGGTGCCACCATGGCCCAAAGAGATCTGAGCCAAGCTGGGCAGTGCTCTGCCCTCTGGACACCCTGTTTGGGTGGCTGCAGCTCCCCCTGCCCCAAAGGCCGCTGCCGATGACAGCCAGCACAAGGACAGAGCAGCCTCCAAAGCCTTCAGCAGGCTGTCTCACACCCTGCTCTGTGCTGCTGAGCAGCAGCACCAGCCGGCGAGCAGCCTGCATGGCCACCACGCAAGGGATCCCTCAGAAAGAACGAGGCAGGGACACCAGCAGAATAGAGGAAAGTCCGGTCGCAGTATGGGGAAGCAGCCGCATCCCTCAAGGACAGCCTGGGTGTCTCCCTGGCAGCAAAATCCCACAGAAAAATCGGTCCCATCTACTCTAACACACTGTGGAGAGGACGGAGACCGCAGCTGCTCCGAACACAGAGAAGGATCACACTGTGGAGCAGGCTACGCGCCCAGACCTCCACTTCCCCAGGCGCTCACCACTTCCTCACTCTCCAGCGCCACGTCACTGTCACCACAGGCACAGCGCTTCCCCCTGCCCCTTCTGCTGCAGCCTTCCCCTGGAGTCACCCACCGGGGACAGGGAGCAGGCAGGAAAGGCGCAGGCTGTAACAGCCGGGGACGCCGGCAGAACACGTGGCTGGGCGCCTCTGCCGAAATGCCCGACCACGAAGTAGAAGGATGAGGTCATGTCTCACGCAGAAGCACGAGGTGCTCAGTCTGGGACCGGAGTCAGCTATCGACTCGCACCGTCCTCCTCAGCCTGCGGGCAGCAGTCCTCCTCTCCGCACCTCCCAGGCAGGGGAGCTGGAGAGGATGCGCCGAGTGCGGGCACCCGCAGTGGGTGTCAAGGTCACGGACCAGAGGGTCCCTGCCTGCACGAGCCCCCGATACAGCGGGGCCGGCGG